AATAAACAAATTAATATGTTATTTTCTGGGCATTGTTCATCAAGTGTGGAACCTTCTGTCAACTGATGATTCATTATTATTATTGTCCCCTTGTGTTCCTAGTGGAGCATAGGGCTTCAACTGCACGTCTCCACTTACTTCTCTCTTCTGCTGTACTTTTCACTTGCATCCATGTTAATCTATACTGTTTCAACTCTTCTTCACACGATCTCCTCCATGTCACCCTTGGACGTCCCACTCGACGCTTCCCTTTCGGGTTCCACTCGAGCACTGGCCTGACGCGCGATGTCACCCAGCGGCCTCCTCAGCTCAGTGAATGTCCAATCCATCTCCACTTTCTCCTGCATATTTGTTGCTTGGTGATTGGTTCTTGTTTTGTTTGTTCCCATAGTTTCTTGTTGGTGATTCTTTCCGGCCATCTGATTTTGAGTATAGAGCGAAGACAGTTGTTGATAAAGGTCTGCAACAGGCTGTTGGAAATATTCTTTGTGACCCACTGGCCAAGTTTCTGATCCGTATAGACGAACTGACTTTCTGTCAACTGACATTATCTAAAAATTTTAAGTATATTAAATTTGTTCCACCTGTATGGAATTGATGAAAAGCCAGCTATGTAAATTATAACCGCCCCCCACCGCACGTTTATTTTTTAATATTCTGCATAAACTATTGGTCTTGCTTTATTCCAATTCATAAAGACGAATAAATGTATGATGTTTTTTCAAGTTTTGTTGTTTCCTATAGTATAAAGATTTCCAAATATCTTTCTTTTTTTTCCCATGTGACACTACTGTTGCATGTGCATGGTTTGTTAACGTGTATAGTCATCATACGCTGTTTTAGTGGTTATTGTGGTTATTACCTCGCGGATAAAAATAGGACAATGGATTAATTAGTCGTTGTTAAATATTTTCATTGTTAATAGTATCTCAATCTTGTCTAGACATCGTATTGGATCACATGTAGCTAGTTATCTTTTGTTTCCAAATTCCCATTTACGCATTTAGAAGAAAACAACACCAGCAGCAGATTGAGCGAAGAAATATGCATTCTAGCTGGCTGGCTGGCTCTACACTAATATATATATATATGTATATATATATATATATATATAATATATACGCAGCATAATCATTGATTTCACGCATCTGCGTGATTATTGATTTAAATTACTGAATTCCCAAGGTCGTTAATATTTTTAAAATGTGACATTGATTTTTCTAATTGTATAAATACGGAGTTGTTGTTTAACATTTTCGACTGTTGTGTGAGACAGTAAAAGCTCTCATATCAACGTCCAGTCTTCTCTTTTATTTGTCTTGCGTGCCCGGCGGTATTATTGTTGTTGTTGTTGACGTGCGATTAAGACAGATTAGCCAGCGCATTAGTTAGATTCGCTCGTAGTCTACAAGGTCCTCATATTCACATACATAACAAATTTGGCGACGGGTTTGCTGAAGATGGACTCACTGCGTTTAGAGAAACTAATGGAACAGCAGCTAAAATTGATGGAAATGCTTGCTGGTCTACAAATATCACGCTCTGCTGATTCATCGACAGCCAACGACAGCATTGGTAGTAGCATCTCAGAATTCGTTTATGATCCAGATGCGAACATTACTTTTGATACCTGGTTTCGCAGATATGAAGACCTATTTCGAGTAGACTTTGCGGATAAAGATGATGCCTGGAAAGTACGGCTTCTACTTCGTAAATTGGGAGCAGATGAGCTAGACAAATACTGCAACTTAATTCTGCCACAGAAGCCCAGTGAAAGATCATTCGATGAAACTGTCCATACCCTTCGTCATCAGTTCGGTGATCAGAGATCTTTATTCAACGTTCGATATCATTGCATGAAACTATCTCTGAACGAAAATGATGATATCCATACTCAGCTGGGTATAGTCAATCGCACGTGTGAACGTTTTAAATTGAAATCACTCTCAGAAGACCAGTTCAAGGTGTTGATTTTCATTTGTGGTTTGCAGTCTCCCAAATTTGCTGATATACGCACACGTCTATTAAATCGTCTGGAACAAGATCCACGAATGACTTTGAAAGACGTCGGTGAAGAATATCAGCGTTTAATCAACATTCACAACGATACCGTCTTGGTGCAGTCTGGCAGCCAAAATGCAGCAGAAGTGCATGCGGTGCATCCAGTACCGTCGACATCAACCGCACCGCTTCATCCTCAGCATAAACCACCATCAGCCTGCTGGCACTGTGGCTCCTGGCATTTTGCAAACTTGTGCCCATTCAAACAGCATAAATGCCGTCGATGCCATACTGTTGGTCACAAAGATGGCTACTGCAAACGCAACAACCGACCCAGATCTCGTAGTCGACTCAGACGGCGCAACAAGCTCAAGTCTTTGGGTGTTACTGCCACATATCATATTAGTACTCCAGCACCTCGCAAATATATCGATCTGACGATTAATACACGGCCGGCACGCCTACAAATCGACACAGCATCTGACATTACAATAATATCAAAGAAATTATGGCAGAAGTTGGGATGCCCTGCCATAGAGAAGACAAATCAGATAGCAATTAGCGCATGTGGTGGAAGACTTCGATTGAATGGAGAAATAAAATGCAGCGCTGGTTTTCGCGATAGTCATTTCGTCGGCACATGCTACATCAATAATTCAAACCTTGACCTCTTGGGTTTAGACTGGTTCGAGAAGCTGCACCTGTCAGAGATTCCGTTAAGCAGTGTATGCCAAAAGATCGAAAGTATTGAGCCCTCAACAAGAAAGCCAGAAATCAGAGACAGATATATTAAACCTAAGCCCATTAGAAAGAATGACGTGATTAATGAAAAACCAACTTCGAATCGTCATAGTGAGTATGGCTGCGCCAAAAGTGCTTCGATGTCTGGTAGCAACAAAGTAGCAACTGTTAGCTCCAGTAAGAGAGGCTCTGCTCAAAAACTGAAAGTGATGTCTGTCATGGCAGCCAAAGATCCGCCGCGGGAGCCACCGAGAGCATGGCCCACGTCAAAACCATGGTCCCGCCTACATGTGGATTTCGCTGGGCCGATAGAAGGTATATACTACTTGGTTCTCGTGGACTCTTACTCAAAGTGGCCGGAGGTAGTACAAGTGACACCACCTTCTAGCAGCAGAACAGTATCAGTCCTGGAAAAGATCTTCGCATGTCACGGTATACCAGAAATCATCGTATCTGACAATGGCAGTCAGTTCACCTCACAAGCGTTCCAGGAATTTTGCAAGAGAAACGGTATACAACACGTGCGGACGCCACCTTATCACCCTCAATCCAACGGTCAGGCAGAAAGATTTGTCGACACCTTCAAACGAGCCTTGTTGAAAGCAGGGGGAAGGGCGAAACCGGAAGCAATACAAAACTTTCTTTTTGTATACCGAACTACACCACTGACAGAACAGAAGAAAAGCCCTGCAGAACTTCTAATGGGTCGAATGCTACGAACTCATCACCACTCCATGTTACCATCTTCGTCACATCAACGAAGAAATAGTGTGACGTATTACCGCAAGGGTGATGCCGTCTATGTGCGCGATTATCGACCGAGGAACAGAAAATGGGCCGAAGGCTTGATAGAATGTCGACATGGAACTCTAATGTACAAGGTTAAAGTTGGGGATGAATGGTGGATAAGACATAAAAATCAGATACGACGTCGATATACTACATCCCAAGAACCTAAACTGCCACTGGATTTACTACTGGAAACTTTCAAAATACCACCAGTCAAACCAGAAGCAAAACAAGAGATGCTACCCAGCCGACGATCCCAGCGCAAACGAACACAAACAGTTCCTTTCCAAATCGACCCCAAGGAAAAAAGATACTAAAGTGATTGCAAGATTCTTTTTTAAAAGGGGGAGGTAATATATACGCAGCATAATCATTGATTTCACGCATCTGCGTGATTATTGATTTAAATTACTGAATTCCCAAGGTCGTTAATATTTTTAAAATGTGACATTGATTTTTCTAATTGTATAAATACGGAGTTGTTGTTTAACATTTTCGACTGTTGTTTGAGACAGTAAAAGCTCTCATATCAACGTCCAGTCTTCTCTTTTATTTGCCTTGCGTGCCCGGCGGTATTATTGTTGTTGTTGTTGACGTGCGATTAAGACAGATTAGCCAGCGCATTAGTTAGATTCGCTCGTAGTCTACAAGGTCCTCATATTCACATACATAACAATATATATATATATATATATATATATATAGCTTTTTACATCAAAATTGTTCTCACCAATCAAGTGGTCATGTTAGTTGATCAGTTTTAGGTATAGGTGCAGGTAAAACCAAGAGGTTAAAGGTTATCAAAACAAATAACTAAAAGTTGTTATTATTATTGCTTCCTTTAATTCCTAGAGGAACATAGGGCTTCAGCCGTGCGTCTCCATTCCGTTCTGTTCTCTACTGGAGTCTTCACCTGGCTCCACGTCCACCTACCCACATGCTCTCATCTCCTCTTCACATGACCTCCTCCAAGTCACCCCACCTTCGCACTGACGACCAACTCGCCGCTTCCCTTTCGGGTTCCACTCGAGCAATGGCTTGTCTAATGATGCCACTTGATGGTTTCCTCAGAGTATGGCCAGCCAATCCATCTCCATTTCTTCCTGGCTATTTGTTTCACAATCGGTTCCTGGTTGGTTGGTTCACTCATTGCCAGAGATCTCTGTTGCTGATCTTTTCTGACCGGCCATCTGATCTTGAGTGGTATTGAGCGAAGACAACTGTTGATGGAGGTCTGTAGTTTGTTTGAGATGGTCTTTATGACGCGCAGTGCAAGTCTCTGATCCGTATAGTGAGTAGCACTGACTGACTTCACATTGGAGTTGAAAATCCGGATGTTATTTTTGACGGTAAGTGCTGTTGATCTCCACACAGACTTGAGAGTAGTGAAAGCTTGTCTTGCTTTTCCGATTCTTGCTTTGATAACCTCGTCAGTTCCGTGTGCCTGTAGTTGAAACGATGCTTCCCAGGTAGGTAAAGGAGGTTGTTTCTTTCAGGTTCCTCCCATTTATGCTGATTGTTGTCTGTTGTTGTTGTTGTTGCTGTTGGTGGTGTTGTCCAGGAATCTTCATCTCCTCTGTTTTCTCTATGTTCACCTGAAGTCCTATGTTTGATGATTCTTCTTCCAACTCGTTGCTTTTCGCTTGCATATCTTCCAGTTTGTTTGAAATCAAACATATATCATCGGCTAAGTCCAGATCCTCCAAGGTTTTTTGTGTGAGTCCATTTTATGCCTGTTTCCTGATTGCCCGCTGCTTGTCGCATTATCCAATCTACTGCAATCAGGAAAAGCATTGGCGATAGTAGGTAGCTTGTCCTGTCCTCACTTCGAAGGATTCTGTGAGTTTCGGGTTGTGGATTACTTGGTATGCAGCACTGTTGTACAACTGTTGGATGAGATGTATAATTGTCGGTAAAAAGATATCTAAGTTTTCAATGAGAGAAGGGTGAAAATTAATTAATTAATTACGGAATTCAAGATAGATTGATTCTTAGGCGTGTTCTATGATTGTAAATCTCCTGTTCATTAAGGAAATATATATAGACAATCAGATGGTGTTGCTATGGCATCACCACTAGGCCCAATCATAGGAGATCTTTTCCTAGCGAAACTAGGGAATGGTCTTCTTTAACATGCAATATGTACTCTTGATTTCTATTGTCAATATGTCAATGATGCGTTTATAGTTGTGAGGAAGGAAAGTGTGATACTCTCCAGAGATCATAATTTAGTAGAATTAATGAAAGTGAATAAGGGAAACTATAAATGCAAAATAATTGAGCGCTGAGTGAGAAGTAGACATTTATAAAATTATATTTGTAAAATCTCAGCGAAATTGAAATAATTAATTTCGACGTTTCGTTCGGCAATCTGATCCGAACTTCTTGTTGAATCCGATGAGAATGAGTTGGCGTTCCTGAACTGTTTAGTAAAAAGAAAATTAGATGGCAAATTTAAAATAAACATTTTCAGGAAGCCGACAAATTCGGACTGATACCTAGATTATTATTCAGCTCACCCACTTACCACCAAAGTAACTGTGGCCAAGAATTTGATCAACAGAGCCAAACGTCTAGTTACTGAGGAGGAAGATATTAGCAAGGAATTAAAATTGGTTCAATCCACTCTTGAATCAAATAATTATCCTAAAACCTTCATAAATAGATATTTAAAATGTGAAGATAAGGATGAATCAAAACCTGATGCTAAGAATTGGGTTAGTACAGCGGTGATTCCTTACCGCAAAGAAACATCTGACGAAATAAAGCGAATCCTTAACGATCATAACATAAGAGTTTATGTTCGTGCATCAAACACCTTACGCTCATTACTAGTGAAGGTTAAGGATAAAATAGAACAAGGAAATCAGCAGAATTGTGTATACCAGATCAATTGTGGGGATTGTAACGCCGTATATGTAGGAGAAACTTGCAGACAGGTAAATGTAAGAGTGAAAGAGCATAAACAATGTCTGAAGGTGGTTCCAAAGACCTCTGCAGACTTGAAGAAGCTAGAAAACAACTCAGCGATTGCACTGCACTCGATAGAAACGGGACACAAAATCGACTTTGATAAGACTAAGGTTTTACAGAAAGGTTTTGTTTCATATAAAGAAAGACTGACTGCAGAAGCCCTACATATATGGGTGAATCCCAACAGTTTGAACAGACGTGAAGGTGTGATCTTAGCTGATGCATGGCAAATCCTGACTAATAAATAAATTGGATATGTTTCAACAACTAGTCACACTTGATCAAATTCCCGATAGTCTACGTATTTTGTAACTATCCGGTCAAATCTTGATCACAGCTCATATGAGAATAACAAATGTTTTATAAATGTTCACTCACACACCATTGTATACTGCATATACACATATATTTTAACGAAAGTAGACTAATTTTGAAAGTCTGAGGTCAAATTTTGATCACAGTTCATATAAAAATTTTTGGTTTTGTTTTGTTTATTAGACCTATTGATAGCTGCTTCTTGATTCACATGACGGAACAAACAATTTAAAACAAGAGGATGTACTTTTATACATAAACATACAATTTTATTTATTTATTATACATGTTGATGCCTGTTGCATGGCTTGTGATTGGACAAAGTTTTTAAAACCAAGAGGTGTTCCTTTTATATATAAACCTCTGTTATGCTAATTTCTATTAATTTCTCTGAAGAAGTTCGGACCAGATTGCCGAACGAAACGTTGGAATTACTCATTTCAATTTCGCTGAGATTTTACAAATATAATTTTATAAATGGAAACTTAGATGCTAATATATTGATGAAAGCTTTCGGTAGACGTAGTTTTTGGGCAGGTCGTCAAACAGGTTAAGGTGCCTGCTTGTTTTACTTCTTAACAGAGATGTCAACTACAAGTCGTCTGTTTGCAGTGTACTGCAGTTTCATGATGACGAAGTTAACACTAGTTACTAGTAAATATGGTCTGTATTGTGCGATGTTGTTTTATGCTTAGAAAACCTGTTTTGATACTTGTTAAAGTTGTTGTTATCAGAACCTGTTTAATATTTTTGTCATTTTGCCTGTCACACAGGTTTGTTAGCCAGCTAGATTATTTTATCTTCATTTTTTTTCTCAGCTGTCCACTTTAAAACGTACTGTTGTAACGGTAGAAAAAAGAAAATTTTTGTCGAAACGGAATGTTTATTTGGAGTTCGGCATCTTTATATGCTGAAATAATGTACACCTTATGCGAAAATCCTTATTTGCACAGATTTTCAGTGATGTCCTATTTTCTACTAACTAGATCTGAGAGCTATTGGTGACTATGTGTGTCTGTCTGTTTTCGACATAGAACTTTGCACATATGTGCGGAAGTTCAAGTCGCCACACTTCCTCCATGTAGCACACAAAGCAAGAGAAAAAAGTAAGAGAAATGCATAAAAGAGAGACAGTAAACAGAGGTGTAAGACAAAGGAATAGTAATAACGGAGAACAAAACAGTTTCATTGGAAATCGTAAGTCACAAGGAGTGGGTGCATCTGCACCAGCCATTGACAACGAGGATTTTGAGCCATGTCACCAATTGTTTCCAACCATTGGTTTTTACCGTCCCGAGGACTCCAACTAGGAAGGCAGTCTACACCTTCCTACGTGGCTTAGACTGACTGTTGTAGATTTCATTGACTGGTGAAGGCATGTTTTGGTTTGACCGCCGCTAGCTCTTTTCCAGCCTGACCCTATATCAGCTAACATTTTCCATTGTCGAGGAAGGCGATGACTAGGCATGGATGCGTAACACATGTCCTAACCATCTGAGTCGATGTAATCTCATAGCCTCGTCGATTGATTTCCTCTCCCTCCTTACCTAGCACTCGACCAATGCCTAACCTCAATATTGCTCACCTTATTATACCGCTTCACGCGGGAGATAGAACGCAGACACCTATGACTATGTGTGTATCATTCATTGACTATGTTTTGGGTTTATCTGTGTTTTCAATCTGACAAGTGTATCATTGATTTTGCATGAGGCCCGTCAAATAATATTTATACATTATTAGATCTGTTGGTTGAAATTACTGAGGCTTTAATAATCCAGAAATCGTTAGATAGGCGGGAGATACTCTGTGAGAAGATATTTAGGGTTCCCTTAACATTGTCGATACGCGTTCCTGATATGTAGCTGGTAAGCCTGAAACCTAGTTATTATTATTATTGTTCTTTTGGGTTCCGAGGAGAACATACGGCTTCAACAACACATCTCCACCTTTCTTCACTTTACTCCTGTTCTCTTCATCTGGTGATCCACACGATTGCCCATTATCTCTTATCTCCTCTTCGTTACACAATCTCCTGCACCTGTCATTTGCCGTTCGTATTCCACTCCAGCGATGGCCTGCATTGAGAGTGGTCTCCTTGTGGCGTATGCCCAATCCATCTCCATTTCTCCTAAACATATTTGTTGAGCGGTAGGTTCTTGGTTACGTAGTCCCCATAGTTCCTTCTTGCTAATTCTTTCTGGCCAGCTGGTCATTCTATCTTCAGTATGGAGCCAGTGAATTAGGCAGCTATTGATAAAAGTTGGCAACAGACTTTCGGAAATCGTATTCGTGACGCGCTGGCGTAGTTTCTTGTCCATGTGGAAGAACTGACTGATTGACTGACTTGACATCTGTGTTGAAAATGTGAATCTTGTTATTTATGCTGAGGCGGAGTGCAGGCAATTTCCGAACGGCCTTCGCGATTCAGACTGGCAGGTGTTGACATCTTCATCCGTGCCATGTGCCGCCTATGGTTGAAAGGAAGTGACCCCTGTCAAATTTCTTCCGTTAGTGGTGATTGGTGCTGTACATGGTTCCATTATGGATAAAATTTTATTTTGATAAAATCACACTGTTATGCAGTAATATTTACTGATGGAATACCCCCTGAAGCACTGAAAGCGGACCCAGAGACGACCACAGATATGCCGACTCCATTATTGCAGAAGGTCTGGAAGGAGGGAAAGGTGCCTACTGACTGGAGGAAAGGTTACCTCGTGAAACTACCAAAGAAGGGCGACTTAGAACTCTGCAAGAACTTGCGAGGAGAAAGTGGAGATGGATTGGACACTCGCTGAGGAGGCCGCTGGGTGAAATCGCGCGTCAGGCCAGTGCTCGAGTGGAACCCGAAAGGGAAGCGGCGAGTGGGACGTCCAAGGGTGACATGGAGGAGATCGTGTGAAGAAGAGTTGAAACAGTATGGATTAACATGGATGCAGGTGAAAAGTACAGCAGAAGACAGAAGCAAGTGGAGACGCGCAGTTGAAGCCCTATGTTCCACTAGGAACCCAAGGGAACAATAATAATAATACATTCGGAAATGATATTAGTGTTATCAATAAAATACAATAAGATGGGACATAAGATGTTTTCATAATAAAATAAATAAATAAATAAATAACTTGTTAAAATGTAGTAATGTGAATTGAATACATTTTAACATTATTTATTATCCTCTGATTTGACTGGTGGTAACAATATCTTCCATATCTCTGGTATTTGCGTTGTGTCACTTCTCTTACATGTGTTGTGTTGGGTGTAGACTCAATGAACCAGACAGGATTCTCTACCTACATATATATTCCTCATTAGCATTTCGACTCTGATCCACCTTATTGTGTGGTTGTGTGTTAATGCATACAGTGCAATCGCTGAGCCTTTTTCTAAATTACTCAACTGTCTTCGCGGGTGAGATCGACCATTCTTACCTTGGCTAAATTCTTATGCTGCGATAATGTGACTGCCCCCGATCTACAGGTCTCACTGACCTATTTAGTTGACTTAAATCACAGTCATAGCAAGGTATTTTGTAAATTATATTATTTTGTCTAATTGAGTCAACTGGGTCCTTTAACCTACAGAGCTTGTCCCTGAGTGAGTTTGTAGGTTTGAATGCCACCCTGATTCCTGCTTTGTTGAGAATCCTACATAGGGTCTCAGATGTCCCCTCCTTATGTGGTAAAACTGTAGATGCCTTATATTCTCTCTTATTTATGTTATCATTATCAGTTTCTCCATTATTTTTATTTCGTTTTTGAGGTTTTCTGATCTTTCTAATGAATTTTATCGGATAGTTATTTGACACCAACCAGCTATTCTTTTATCTGTTTCATTTTATCATTTAGATTATTTTGTACTATTTAGCGTTATTATTGCTCGGTTTGTTAGACACTTAACTTAGCCTGGCTTTACAAACAATGGATGAGATGAATTAAAGCCTAAATTTCTATCTGTTCATGGTTGTTGTTTGCGCGGGGATGGTAGTGTTGGTAGTTCGTTATCTTTATGACCTCTGTCATGTCTATGTTCACCTGGAGTTATGTCTTCACTGGCCGCTTCTTCATCCAATTTTTTCGGTTTTCGTCTGTTAAATTCAGTTGGACAACTTCTAATCTGTTTTTAACTACTCAACATTATATAAATGATGCTTAAGGAATTACATTTTGTTTATTTACATGTTTTTCGAGAAAATACTTATTTATTTATTTATTTACAAATGGTATTATAGGTAGATGAACTTTTAGAAAAGTATGAAGAGAATACAATGTATGAACTTGGTAAACTGTTAGCTAATAAATTAAATATACCATTGAATGAAGGTAACAACAGTCTACCGTCTTGGTTTCCTCGTATAACGCCACAAGTTCGTGATCCTGTTGACAATTCTTCATCTACACAAGATTTGGATATTAATCATCCTCATCAGTCTAATCAAATGTCAAATTTGCAGAGAACGCATCAAGATCCTAACAATACTACTACTAATAATACCAATGTCCAGAATAGAGATCCACTAAGTTCTAATCGCTTCACATCAACTGTAATGCCAAGCTCTCCAGAATTGTGGGATGATGAGACATTTGATGATGCAATATTAAGTCATGCTGCTCAATCTTTGGAAAAACAACTGAATACTAACCGAAGTGGTAAGCTTTTTGTTAGTTTTCTACGTGTTATTTTATTTTTTTGATATTTTGATATACTCTCTTTGGGCTTCTGTATTTATTTCTTGTTTTACACTTCCTAATTTTGAATGTTTTCAATGACTCGCTGGTTGACGGCATTCGTCGGCATTCTCAGTATATCTGGCTATTAATTCGGGGAATGAGAAAGAGTAAGCTTAGACAACTTTTTTTTTACTCCTTTACGATCCCTGTGGAGCATAAAGCTTCAAGCTAGACGCTTGAAGTTTCGGTAGCGATGGTGTTTATTTTATTTGCCGGGATGAGGTTGTTAGCTTCATGCCCAACCTTTCGCTCTTCACCAGTCTTATTACTAGCTTAGCGAGGTAAAGGAATGCGTTGGTTGCCGGGAGTCGAACCCGGAACCACTTGCATGGTCGACGAGCGTCCTAACCGCTATGCCACCGACGCACAAAAAATTCATGATATTCCATGTAAATCTGTTCTGACATTCGAACAGTTTGGAAATTGTGTAAATTGACTGTGATTGTGATTTATACCTTTATACTAAAAATAGCCATTTTTCTTAACATGAACCTCTGCAAGATGCATACAAGATTCAGAGTATTGATTTATTTATTCAAGGGTGTATAAGCCTACTACGTTTCTCCAGTCACACTATACAATGAAGGGCATACAACTGCTACATAATAGTAATAATAATCTATTTTGTCATGAATGCTTTATTCATAGTTAAGGAGTTGTAAAATAAATACAGTTGTTTCACGTCCGATCACAGACTGATTTCATGTGGATAGCCATTTAAAACCACCATGGAGAACTAGACACAGCTGTTGTTTTGTCAGCCTAGATTGGGAGTCATCGGCAGTACGTACCCACCAGAGGGGGTGGTCGAAACCAGGACCATTTTAGTAAACTATTCATCCACTGGAACTCGACTCAATGTCGAGATCATGAATTCCAACTTCTGCCGATATGTGAAGCTGCCTTATGTGTAACCGAAAGATCTTGGATTCGAAACCCAGTGGGTGACTACTGCTTCCGATGAATTAGTCCCCTAAGCTGGGCTGACGAAACATCTGCTGTCTAGTACTCTTTGGTGGTTTTCAATGGTTCTCTAACTAATAGCAATCCATGATTAAACCGGAGACAATTCAAATCCTTACTGTTTATGTTTCTATAATAATTTACCTTGTATAACTTTATAACTGTTAAGTGTTCCTAATATATTGTTTCATCTATAGACCTGCTGAATAAATCACCACAGATTTTAATAACTCATTGTGTAATGCATATCAGTTTGATTATTTTTTTATTAACAGTAAATTTGTAATTTTTGATATCAGATGGTTATAGACAGTCGGCCACAGGAAGCCTTGCTTCACCTAGATTTCGTGCCAGTTGGCAGTTACCAGTCAGTAAGTCAGCAAGGGGTATATCTTCATTCAGTCTTGAAGGAACAACATATCTCCCTTTTGAGATTCGAACCCTCACCCTCCGCGTGTAGACATCCAGTGCTGCAGTCGTCACAGACGTTATCACTAAGTTATTTCGACCTACCAATTGACCATTTGTAGGACTGACTCTATTGGATACTTTGATCGGACATCAGTTAGTACCTAGTGTAATGTATATAGTCTTTTGTTTGGTACACACTGGATGCTGTCAGCAGAATTGGGTAACAGAGGTTCGAATCTCAGAAGCATTGGCATGAGTTTCTTCAGGGAGATTCTAAATCCACCGGTGAGTAACAATTAGCACGAAACTTGTGACCGATTGCGCTTCCAACCATTTAATATTAACAAGACACAATGACACCGTGTTGGCGAGACACCTAATTTGTTATTCAAGTATTGGTTTGTAGGGATTTGGTTGATTGGTTACAGGATTTCATCATGAGCTGATATTGGTTATAGAACCATAGGAAAACCAGTATTGGAGTACTGGACAGCTATTTCGTCCTAGTTTGGGGCTCTTCAGCAGTACGCACCCGCCAGGGTTCGAACCCAGGACCTTCTGGTTACAAGGCCAGCTCGCATACCATTAAGCCAGAAGGACCTGATTCAATGGGTAGTCCATGAATTCTAAATTCTGCCAATTCATGATAAAGCACAATCACTTCGCAATGTCTTCGGCGAGTATTTGTCCCTAAACCCGACCTGCTGCACCCTACTGGTCACGACTTCCCACCAGAACCCCAGGTAACTACCTACCTGAATAGGGCCAGTCACCAGTGAGCATCTCATTGATATCCAAGTACTTAAAATATCAATTTGAATCAACTAAATCCCTAAAAGCCAATACTTAAATATCAATGAGATACTCACTGGTGACTGGCCCTATTCAGGTAGGTAGTTACTTGGGGTTCTGGTGGGAAGTCATGACGAGTAGGGTGCATCAGGTTGGGTGTGGGGACAAATACTCGCCGAAGACATTGGGCAGCGGTTGCACTATATCGTGAATTGGCAGAAGTTAGAATTCATGGACTAGCCATTGAATCAGGTCCCTGTGGCCTTATGGTGTGCGAACTCGCCTTGTAACCAGAAGGTCCTGGGTTCGAACCTCGGTGGGTGAGTACTGCTGGAGAGTCTGAAACTGGGACGAAACATATGTCTAGTACTGCAATACTGGTTTTCCAATGCTTCTATGACCAATGTCAGCTCATGATGAAATCCTGTAACCTAATTTGTTGTTGGTGTCCACACTGCAAACATGACTGATAGAATCCAGTCTTCAGTAAACAAAGAAATAGACACATGACACTAGTTAACAACTGCTGCTCAGTCAAAGCACTTTTGTATGTTTACACTTATAGTATGGCGTTGGTGACATGATTTCTCGATTTATTTTACTAGACGATTGTTTTATGCTACTCACAAGTAATCAAACATAGTTTTAGAAAAGTTTATAGCGCTTAGGATGCATGTATAGGGAAGTCACGAGAACGATCAAAAGGTTTGTTTCTTTGAGGTTTGACTGTTATTTAGTAATTGGGAGGTCAAGAAAGCACTTGAATTCCGCACATTTTGTTATTGGAGCTAAGCATAAGATGACAGTAGGGAATGAATTCATAGCTATGATGGAGAAGATTTGTAGCTCAAGCGGACGATTTTGATGTGGTTGTGTTCTCTGAGCTGGATAGCTAATTTGCGAAGCTTTCATCGTCCTGCTAGGCGACATCTTCAATTTGAAGTGAGCTTTTAGAATTCTCCACGAGTTTATTATTCATCTTTCCTGGTGACCTTGAACGTGATTGGTTGTTTTTTGTGTGTTCTCACACATTCTAGGCTTCTTGTTGTATTGTCACTCATTGTTTCTTTGACTTGAACTTTGACCCTTTGTGTGTGAGGTTTCTTTCTTATTGGTTTGATAAATTTTGTCAATCTCGATGTGTCTATTGATTGATGATTTACTGAAGAAGAGGACGTCCATATTGGCCAAAGTGGACGTCCCCTTCGTCTTCGTATCCACGAACATAAGCTAGCTGTCAAAAGACATGATATCTACTCCCTCATATCACTACATACAGACAACTACGGACATCAATTCGACTGGGACAACCAACGTTCGAATATTAGACAGAGGAAACAACAAAGATGCTAGAGAATTTTTAGAAGCTCGCCTGGCATTCCAGTGAATCATCAATCAATAGACACATCGAGATTGACAAAATTTATGAACCGATAAGAAAGAAACCTCACACACAAAGGGTCAAAGTTCAAGTCAAAGAAACAATGAGTGACAATACAAGTAGCCTAGAGGGTGTGAAAACACACAAAACAAACCAATCACGTCCAAGGTCACCGGAAGAGATTATTAATAAACTCGTGGAGAAATCTAAAAGCTCACTTCAAATTGGAGTATGCACTGAAGATGTTGCCTAGTAGTGTGATGGAAGCTTCGCGAATTGACTATCCAGCTCAGAGAACACAACCACATCAAAAATGAATTCATAGCTTTCTGCTGTCTTCAAGTTACGCTTACCACTTCGTCGGGGAATTCATAGAGCCTCTTTGTAAACTTCAATTTTAAAATTGTACGCTGTATTCATTACTTATCATTTGTTTTCATGAGAAAGCGGGTGGATTCCAGGTATTTTGTGACTTGTGACATATAGTTAGTTAGTGAGTTAGTCAGTTAGTTATTTCTGGAAGTTCTCACAGCGTTTATCATATTCAAACAGTCTGTCTTTGGTATTTTTTGTTTACTAAGTGTCAGGTATTTCTCGTCAATATTTAGTAAAATATTTGTTCAACCATCGGATGGAAAACTCCCATTGTAAAATATAGAAAGTCAAAACAAGTGATCCATTCAGCGGAAAGAGACTCTTTCAACGAATTTATCATCAAGCTGTACCATCGTGTATGTATGGTTTTTAAGAAATTATATCCGTTGAGTGAATTGAATTATAGGCGTGAATGCATAAGATAATAATAATAGTAGTATGAAATGCAATTAAAATTAGAATATTTGTGATTATAATCATAGTTAAGTGTCAAGTGGTGAAACAATTAATGTCATATATAGAATAATTCATAGGATGGATAGAATTTGGAAACGGGGTGTGCAATTATAGGATTAGTAGACAAATAAAATAAAATAAAAATGTTACGTAAAATTGTGTGGCATTCGATAACATAGAATCTAACGTTGCAAAACAAAATCGACCTCGAATGACAAACGAGATGAGTGAAATAATGCCGAGGACAGTTCAAAGTGGAAATAATAACAGTTACAATCGGCATAGCGTCGGTGGCATAGCGGTTAGGACACTCGTTGACGATGCAAATGCTCCGGATTTCGATCCCCGGCCACGAGTGCAATCCTTTACCTCGCTAAGCCAGTAATAAAAGCTGGTAAAGAGGCATGAGGCTAGCAACCCCATCCTGTGAAAATAAACACTGCTACAGAAACTTCAAGCCTCTAGCTTGAAGCCCCCTATGTTCCACTGTGAACGTAAAGGAATGGGAGAAAAAACAATCGGCATAGCAATAAGTGAAGAG